AGGTTCGTCACCAGGGCATAACAGCCACTCTGCGCCATCCATAGACAGGGTGCAAGCAAGAGTGGGCCTGATGAGACACTGGACAGTCGGGAAGCGTCAGCTCATCAAATGGGCACTTGTTGGCCATGTGACCCGCAACATAGGGGCAACGCACTAGACAGAGAGCCAGTGCTGCGTGCTGGAGAAAACTCAACCACCGGATGACGTATCAGACACGGCGAGGTCTCACTGGCGTGTGAGCCGGCGAAGTGCGGGCAATACGCCAGGGGTACACAGCCCGCAGCAGCAGTACAGCTGCAAGATGCATGGCCAAGGCAGAGACGCGACCAGAAGGGTTCATCCAACCATATGACACATTTAAAGAAAATACTAATAAAATAAAATAAAAATAAATAAAATTAATGTTCCCTTTAGAAATTTTTTTGCTCTTTTTTGCACTATAAAATAGTTGTTTTCTTTTAGAATCACTCATCTTAGCAGTAGGATATACATGGAGAGAGAAACAAATTAAGTTTGAGTGAAAATGTACATTTTTTGCACTCTCTGATCAACTGACTCAGTGACTCAAATGACTCAAAAATCCGATTCACTTTGGTAAGTGACTCATTAAAACTCAATTCAGTCAAAAATCTTGGAAGAATATGGTTATATCTCAGGTTACCATTTTCAGTTCACTGCTTGCTCAAAGCTCTCTGATAATTTTCCACTGGAAGTCCCTGATAATGTTTTCTCATGTCCAGAAGGTCTTTTTACTAGGAGCCTTTGTGAATAACTAACTCAAACTGAGAAGATCTGTGAGCCGAATACTTGTCCTGGGTTTTGAAAACAAATCTTATATAATTGTGAAGTTAAAACAAAAGTGAAGAAAATGTTTGTTTTGGAATATAAGGATTTTTTTCATGAACTTCTAAACTAGCTAAACTTCTAGAGCTGTGTTTTGTGCCTATATGGATGAGTCTAATTATGATATGATGCCGTTTTTTTTGTATTGTTATATCCCCACATGAAGGCTAGGCGAAGAGGGTGGGGGACAGTAACAGTTGGATCCGGATTGGAATGAAAAGGACGCCAGGCAGAAGTGTTTAACACAAAATAAGTCATTATTATAACCAATAAACATTTAAACAGTATCAACAGAAAGAGTCAGCAACACTGCTATTAGCAATAAAGCAGGCAGAAAGAAGGAGGAGGAGAGGAAGAGGACAACACCACACCCACACACTCCCACAGAAGGCAGGAGCAGTGAGAGGCAAAGGGAGGGGCAAGAATGAAAGAGGAGGAGAGGAAGAGGACAACACCACGCCCACACACTCCCACAGCATCACAGGATGTAACAGTATCATCATATAATGTTGGTCTAGGAACAACCTTAACTGATCAACCACATTGTTGCGATGTCATAACTTTGCAATGTGAGGGGAAAAGAAAAAAAGAAGAAAAGAATTTTGGTTTGCATAAAGCTGTAGAAAAAAAAAGAATTTGGTTTGCTGTTACCCAAATTTAAGTTATTTGTGTTGGTTTGCTAGTGACTGCTTTTAAAAGCATTACCTAACTTCTTGGTTAATGCTAACTAAATGCTCAGACAGGGACATTTGTCAGCTGCAGTGCTGATCCTGGATCAGCAGTTATGATGATGTAAAAACAACACCAGCACAAAGACATCAGATCATGCTGTTCCTAATACATACCAGTCATTTCATATGTGTAGAGGACCCAAAGTTGAAGGATAAAGGCCAGCCGCAAGATGACACACTGTGATATTCCAATTGTATTGGTACTCAAAGATGATACATTTCTTTTAACTTTGTGCATTATGAAATCAGTGCAAAATGCATTTTAGGCTACGCCACTGTACACTAAAGGTCATGCTCAATTTTAAAAGCAATGAGTAGGGGTTAGGCAGGACATCTGTTATCTATGTCTAAGTAAAATCGTCCACCTAGACTGGTTTCTGATCTAGTTTTTGCTGACATATAAGTCAAAGTGACAAAAGACGCCACTCCCACATTACTTTCGTTTGGCCAACATACTAATCTTGCTGTCATTAAAAATTAACAACAGCCTCAATTTTAGTCATGCATGTCAATACTTCCTTTTAAAAGAATGGACATTAGTCATCACCATTGCTAACAGGTACCTCTATGAGAGGACCTTACATCGAAGCACTTCTTCTTCTAGTTACTTTAATAATTTTATATAACTTTTAATTTTAATTAACCTGCTCCTTGCTTCTGTTATCACAAACAAGATGATAACTAATCACTAATTAATTTTTATACTATTTTCACTAATTAGTGATTGCTAATTAGTTAAAATAACTCCTTGGTGGCATAGCCCCTGGGGTGGACGAGGTCTGCCCTAAGTTCCTGAAGGCTCTGGATGTTGTAGGGCTGCCCTGGCTGACACGCCTCTACAATGTTGCATGGAGATCAGGGGCAGTACCCCTGGATTGGCAGACCAGGGTGGTGGTTCCCATCGTTAAGAAAGGGGACCGGAGGGTGTGTTCCAACTACAGGGGAATCACACTCCTCAGCCTCCCTGGGAAAGTCTATGCCAGGGTGCTGGAGAGAAGACTCCCCCCGTTAGGCGAACCTCAGATATAGGAGGAACAATGCGGTTTTCGTCCTGGTTGTAGAACACTGGATCAGCAATTCATCCTCTCAAGGATATTTAAGGATGTATGGGAGTTTGCTCAACCAGTCTACATGTGGACTCATTTGCCACATTTGTAGGACTCTTGAATTTGGACAGCCTTCATCGCATCGCTGTGACATAATCGCCTACTAATGCAGACATCGAAACATGCTACTCCTGAATTCAGACACAGCCAGCGTGAGCATATGGAGGATGTCGAGAATGAATGACAGTCATGATTATGGTCTTTGGGAGGGAAAAGGTGGAGGAAGAGTGTAGAAGGATTAAGTGAGTGTGGATGGAAAGGTTCAGCAGGGGACTGAGTTCATTAGGGTGACAGCTGTGACAAAAAAGCTGTTCCTGAACCTCCTTGTTTGAATCTCATGAGTCCTGTAGTCCCAGAGAATGATTCGTGCCCGGCAGAAGGCACAGCCCGCATAACTGCATACCTGCATACCTGCATACTTTAAACTTTAAACATCTTTTTTTTTACAGCTTCAGCTTGCTGTCTTTAAGAATTTCAATTTTTTTCTTATGTTACTTGTACAACTGTTAGATCAAATTTATTGTCATTTATGTTTCTGTGACGAATAGCATTGTTCAGAATTTTGCAACCTGTGAAATTAGCAGCAGTGAATGTGGAGATGATTGTCAGATTGTTTTGAAACCTTGATACAATTATTGCAGAATTGCTTTGAAAGTGTCAGTGTTTCACAGAGCTTTTCTTTGCCAATCAATAATGTGAGCACATCTCAAAACATTCTTTACATTGAGCTCTTTCTTTAGATTGGTTTTTTTCTCTTTTGTTTTGTTTTTTGCCTACATGCCACCATGATATCACAACATCAGTTACCGAAAGCTGACCTACCCGGCTCTTCTCAGTTTGGCAGATATTGTCAGTGTTGTCACCTCTATCTCTTTCTTCTATTCTTACTCCCATCTTCTGCTCCTGTATCATTCATGTTTCTCCTTCAGTGAGAAATGTGTTCAAAAGGACTAAAACTGTTTATTCCTGACGATTTTCTACCTTTTTTCCTACTGCTGAAACCCCATTCCCTGCCACTCCTGTCACTCAGTGTGCAAAAAGAAAAGTAAGTGCAGCAAGGACTAAGGAAATCGTGTGGTTTCCAGAGTCAAACAGTTCCTCCAAACTTTGAAAACAAGAAAAGGCGGTCAAAACCACAAACTACTCAGACATGGAGTCTGTATAATAATAATAATAATGTGTATGTGTTAGTCCCCATAGGGAAATTGCTCCTCTGCATTTAACCCATTAACCCAGTGAAGCAGTGGGCAGCCACCAATGCAGCGCCTGGGGAGCAGTGTGTAGGGACAGTACCTTGCTCAGGGGTACCTCAGGGTAGCCGTTCAGTGGAGTCGAACCCCTGAGCTTCCGATCATGGGGCCAGCACTCTACCTACTGAGCTATCCCTGCCCCAAGCTATCCCTGCCTGCTTGTCTAGTGTTTATTGCAATACTTCCTCATTACTTGAATGACACATCTGACACAGTATCAATAAATGTGTCAGCAGCGCCACCTAATGGCAAACTTGTAAATTATATATATATATGTGTGTGTGTGTGTGTGTGTGTGTGTGTTCATATGCATACTAATACATGCACTTTGAGACCTCTTGATTTTGTCTATAACAGTTTATGATACAAAGTTTAACAAAACACATATAACACATATAATACATCATAATTAATTAATAATTGTTAAATATTTTAATTTGAATGGAAAAACATTCTGGAGCTTTCAGTTGTTAGCTACATAAAAGTATGTAACTATTATATGGTATACAGTATATGGTAAAATTAAAATTTAAAATTAGGAATGATGAAAAAGGGATCCTTTCACATGGTGCAATTGGTAGTCTTATACAAGATGGTAACCCTAAAGCCCTAACCCAACCCAAACCCTAACACTTCCACTATTAGAAGCTGCAAGAATTTTAATATGAATATAATATGCTGCGCTGTTGTGTTTTAATATCATGTTTTATATTTTAAGATGACCCTGAATTAAATGTGGTGTCTCTTCAAAAGGAGATTTTGATCTCAGTAAGATTACCTGCTTAAAAAGGCTTTAATTATAATAATAATAATAATAAAAAAATTTAAAATGATTTTTTTTTGTGCTGTCATTTCAAAGAAAAGCTAAAGAGTATAAGATTTTAATTTAAGCGATATTATTTTATTTTCTGTGTTTTTTAAGTCATATGAAATAAGTGATAAATGAAAAAAGATTTACTTATTTATTCATTTAGTGTCCATCTTGAATTTAATGGTTGTGACATGACAGCATGTTAACCACTGTGTTGACATGATACTTTAGAGCAGGGGACACTTCCGGCACCGTCATCTCATTGGAGGGCCACTTTAGTGTCCTAGTAGGACAAAAAAAACCAAACACAAAAACACCCATTAATATTTCCTAAAATGTAGTGTTTTGTTTGTTTTATTTAAATCCAAATACTGTGTAACAAGACAAAATTGCAAACACGAACACATGTTTTTCTCATTCTTAACTATCGAAGCCTTTCAGTTTCATTTGTCATATGCAAGTTAGCACAGGGTCAACATTGCAATGAAATGTATTTTACGAGCAGAAGAACTACCAAATAAACAGCTCTTTCTGGCCAGACACATGGAAGCACTTTTGCTACAATTATGCTTGCATTTAACAAAATAAAAATGCAGGCATAAGCAAACACATTAGTTTTCAACTGTAAGTGAAAATAGTTTTCTTTCCAAATAAATCCCTCACTGAACTAACACAGCCAATCCCTCAACATGTTTGCACTCTCTTGTTACCTCGGCCAGATCCGCGGCTCCGAACTGTGGTAGGGGCTTGAAATCCACCAACAACACATAGGCAAAAAGCAAGAGAAACGGGAAGTACATCAGAACTGACGCCAGCGTGACACCATGAATGAACTTTAGATTAGATAAAACTTTATTAATCCCTCGGGAAATTCAGTGGTGTTTTGTGGTGGTCGGTAAGGTACACCTCTATCAAAAATTATAAATACAGATTAACAGGTGGCTAAAATAACAGCATGTGGAGACAAGAATCATCTCTGAGGTCTGAAGTCTTTCTTCTTGTAGGGAGTGACAACACTTATTCAAAGATGACTCTTTAAACAAGACTCACCTTGCTTGATAACATTATGCATCCTCCTAGGATGGTGTCCTGGGGGACAGAATTCTAGATCAGCATGGGGACCAGTCAGTGGTATCAATTCCTTCGTCCTCCAGGAACTGCCTACTTATACTAACCATATTATCCACTGCACTAGCGTAATGTCTGATAATGACTGAATATCATCCCGATACCTAAAAGCAGTAGGCCCAGTAAGTGCCACTGCCTTGCCTGTAGAGGTCTGTGCATCACCCATTAACAGTTTCAGGACCCCTGACACCTGAGGAAACAATTTATTTATTAGTGTTTCTTTCAGTGTAACATCTATGAGACATTTGTTCCTCTCCTCACCTTGCCATTGTCGCCATTGAAGAGTTCACTTTTGGCAATGTCAACCCTGTTCCATGTAACTACTAACGTCAGCTCATTACTATAAGGGCTGGCATCAACTGATGCACGCTGCTTACTTGCTAAAAAAAATACAAATGCGGCAAAAATTAAATTAAGGATAAAAAGGGGTTTGCTGCTGTTATGCTGTACAGTTACAGTCTACATACTAGAGATGGCACGATACCACTTTTTAATGTTCGATACCGATTCCGATATCATAGATTTTGATATCTGCTGATACCGATATGAATCCAATATAGCGTATTTTGTAATCAATAAAACT